ACTATGGGGAGGGAGAGGGGAGGACAACTACTGCTTCCGACTGCCTTAGGCAATTGCACCAGAAGTAGAAGAGGGTACCTGTCAAATTCAGGTACCTGCTCCCCCCCCCCCACTCCCAAAAGGTGCCAATCGTAGACGGGGAGCAGGGGACAAAGCCTTAAAGCAGAACTTCCCCTTTAGGGTGGAAGCAGGGGCGGACTGACAACTCATGGGGCCCCCGGGCAATAGGGGTTCATGGGGCCCCTGTGTCCTTTCCCAAACTCAAAAAAGCCTATGAAAAAGGTATCAGGGGCATCTCATGGGGTCCCCTACTGACCCCAGGCCCTCAGGCAGGGCCCGAGTTTGCAAATGGTTAGTCCACCCCTGGGTGGAAGGGATGATTCCCTTTGCAAAGTGCAATTTCTCTCGCAAAGTAACAGTCTATGTGTCTGTAATAAATCAACCCCAGGCAGTGAAATTGTAGTGTATAGGACATTGGTGGTCAGTTTAAGCAGCTGATCATTTTGCCCCTGCTCATTCAGCTAAGGAACCCTTAGCAACCTCTGGAAGAACCCCGGTTGAGAGAATCTGGTCTAGTTTGTATGAACAAGTGACGCAACACTGTGTGAACCAAACATAAACTGTTGATCCGTGTCTGAAAAATATTCATGTTTAATTAAGTCCTTTCTATAAATCAAACAGAATCAATAAACCAATCTCCAGTCACCCTCAGCCCTGGTAATAAATATGTACCTCTTTTGCAGATGTGCATTTATTAATCATGACATTCATTGGTGTGGGACACCATTGTAAAACCAATTGACATGTCTGTGCCTACAGAAGAAAAAAGTGCATATCCTATGGACAGACAGCACTGGAACAGGCATCCTTCATTTGTCACTTTAATACACTTATAATAACATCAATGCTGTGTCGTTCTGGTACAACTGGAGCGATGTTAATGACACTGTAGATGTGCAGTCATTCATTACCTAAGTAAATTAACTGCTACATAGTCATGTCTTATGGCAACCATTGATCACACAGACTTCATCTGTAGTCCTAAGCAGGGAGGTGATGACGACTTTTTAGTAAATCCCTGTGGGATCTGGAGTGACGTCTACACAGAAGCCACTCGAGTTAGCCCTGTTGACCAGCCCTTCTCTCCCCATCGTTTTATAGGAGCATCTTTCAGCCTCAGACTATTAAAAGAAAGGAGCCGAGCTTGGCTAAGTACACAACTTGCACTGACGAGAGCTGAGAAGATCGGAACTTGTGGCGGCAGCAGCAGCAGCAGCAGCGAGGCTTCCCTCTGCCCGACCTTGGCTGGGACTTTCAGCACCACGGACAGCGGACGGAGCGGCTCCTTCTTCTACCATTGGGGACACTCCACATCAAAGGACATACCGCAGGAAAGAGGCAACCCCACATTTCTGGTAAGTGCACACAGATCTCACTATTGCACACTTAAACGTTAGCTGCAATATGTATACTTAACCAGGGCACACTTTTATTATACAGCTAACTCTTGCACACATATATTAGCTGCCATTTCTACAATTGACTAGTGCACACTTCAATATTAATTGCAGTATATACAGTTCACTTTTGCACACGTTTATTATACAGTTTCTTATACAGCTACCTATTGCACACTTAAATATCAGTTGAAGTACATTACACTGTATATACGTCAACTGATATTCAGTATGCAATAGTTAACTGTATATACTGCAATTAATATTTATGTGTGCAATAGTTAGTTATACAATTGACTAAATATTAATTGCAGTTTATACAGTTAACTATTGCACACTTAAATATTCATTGCAGTATATACAGGTAACTATTGCACATGTTAATATACAGTTACTTATATAGCTACCTACTGTACACTTAAATATCAATTAAATTATATAAAGTTAACTAATGCATACTTAAATATTATTTGCAGCATGTACAGTGAACTATTGCACACATAAATATTAATTGCAGTATATACAGGTAACTATTGCACATTTTTATTATACAGTTATTTATTGCACACTTAAATATTAATTGCAGTATATACAAATCAACTATTGCACATGTTTATTATACAGCTACCTATTGCACACCAAAATATTAGCTGCAGTATATACAGTTAACTATTGAACATGTAAATATTAGTTGCAGTATATACAGTTAACTATTGCACATGTTATACAGCTACCTATTGCACACCAAAATATTAGTTGCAGTATATACAGTTACCTATTTCACACTTAAATATTAGTTGCAATATATATACAGTTAACTATTGCACATGTTTATTATACAGTTAGCTATTTCACACTTAAATATTAACTGCAGTATATACAGTTAACTATTGCACCTGTTTATTATACAGTTAGCTGTTGCACACTTAAATATTAATTGCAATATATACAACTGCACACGTTTATTATACAGTTACCTATTGCACACTTAAATATTAGCAGCAGTAGATACAGTTAACTACTTAAATATTAGTTGCAGTATATACAGTAAACTATTTCACATGTAAATTTTGGTTGCAGTATATACAGTTAACTTTTGTAAACTTAAATATTAGTTGAGGTATATGCAGTTAACTATTGCACACTTTTTGTTATATAATTATTTTTATTATGCAATTAACTATTGCACACTTAAATGTTAGCTGCAATATATACAGTTAACTGTTGCTCACTTAAACATTAATTGCAATACATACAGTTATCTATAGCACAAGTTTATTATACAGTTACCTATTGCACCCTCAAATATAAGCTGCAGTATATACAGCTAACTATTACATGCTTAAAACTTAGTTGCAGCATATACAGTTAACTATTGCATGTGTTTATTTTACAGTTATCTATTGCACCCTTACATATTAGCTGCAGTATATACAGTTAAATATTACATACTTATCAGCTGCAGTATATACAGTTATCTATTGCACACTTAAATATCAGCTGCAGTATATGCAGTTAAATATTGCACACTTAAATATTAGCTGCAGTATATACAGTTAACTATTGCGCAGTTAAATATCAGCTGCAGTATATACAGTTAACTATTGCACACTTAAATATTAGTTGCAGTGTATACAGTTATCTATTGCACACTTTTTTTTAATAGTTACTTTTATTATACAGTTAGCTATTATACACTTAAATATAGGCTGCAGTATGTATAGTATCTATTACACTTAAATACTAGTTGCAGTACATAGAGTTAACTATTGCACATTTAAATATTGGATGAAGCATATAGTTAACTATTGCACACTTATGGAAGCGGCAGTATATATAGTTATCCATTACACACTTAAGTATTAGCTACGGTATATGCATATACGGTATATACTAATGCACACTTTTTTAGGGGACAAAACAAAGAAAGTTTAACACATCTAGTGAATTGACTGACCAATGTGCCTTGTGTGACCTTACATTATGTTTTAATTCATTAATGCTGTTGAAGTTCTCAAGGCTGTGAGACATTGGAGACAGTACTTACCATTAGTTTCCAGTTTCCAGAATACAGTTCACACACATGCTATTTGTAGATGCCAAAGCTAGCTAGAGAGCTAAACAGTAATAGTGGCCATGCATGGAATGACTTTATATATGATCATATTGGTGATATATTTACTGTCCAGTTGGAATATGATCGAATAGGAACATTTGATGCACCCTATACTTATCAATCTACTTTCCTACACTCATATTTTCCATCCAGACAAGGGGGCACTTTTTACGTCTGGAGGAAAAGAGATTTCATCTCCAAATATGGAAAGGCTTCTTCACAGTAAGAGTGGTGAAAATCTAGAATAGGCCTGGATTCTTTCGTAAATACACACAATATAACTGGATACTAATATTTATAAGTAAAGTTGACCCAGGGAATATCTCATTGCCTCTTGGGGGATCAGGAAGACATTTTTCCCCTGCTGGATCATGCTTTATTGTTTTTTAATTGCCTTCCTCTGGATCAACTGTGGGTATAGGATTGTGTATATGGGATTGTATTTATTTTTCCTTTTATTGGTTGAACTAGATGTATTTGTATATTTTTTTCAACCAGACTAACTATGTAACTGAATAGAATAACTTTAATCACACCAATTGGTTTAGCTTGAAATCAATCAATGACATTCGTTCCTAGATCTGCCCATAATATTCGATGAATTGTTGGATCAGATTGCTATCTGTATGGCAACCATAACAGAGTACCTTTTCAATTGTTATAGTATATGTAACACATCTTTAATAAGTAAACACACAGCAAGTATGTTTGCTTATATTTTTTTTAATCATGCTTGCTGTTTGGCACACATTCATGTAAAACAGTCCCTAATACTATGAGTATGTATTTATTTATTTATTTAATTTATATATTTATTTATTGTTATCAGAAAAATGACATTCCACAAACAGCAGTGGATACTCCAATAGCATGCTTATATTTACACATTAAAAAGTATGCTTTATATCTTACATAAAATTATATACTTATCATTGGTTTTGATTAGCATTGTATATACTGTGTTATTCTGATTCTATATTAAAATGGCAAAGAGTGGATTGTGACTTGCCCCTTATAAAACTATTTCCATAAAAGCTATAATTTTTTTTGATCCAAGTTTCAGATAATGCTTTTAGAACACATTGCTTTAAAAAAAGAAATATTATAATAAAATACAGTTGCTGTATAAGCACATAAGGTAATTAGTTCTCTGAGATCACATACTTATTTTTACATTTCAATTAAATTAGTTACAGTCTCAGAATATAGGTTTTGAGGGTATGGGTTTAGACAGAAAAAAAGGGTATAGCTGTTTTTTAATGACCATAGTAATAACCAGCATGCACTTATCTAGCAGGAGCATTAAGTGAATAGGGTTAAGAAGAACAAGTGCTTATGAGGAATGTAATGTGTTCTACACAATGTGTAGCCATGCTTTACCTTGACTGAATGTGACAAGTGGTTTGTTATTTAACAGAGCTGAAGTCATGGAGCACAGAACCATCTTCCACCTTATGGTGACTCTCACCTTGTTCAGTGTTTTCTACCTCCGAGCACTTGCATTACCTCCCTTAGCGTCTTATTCTAACAGCAGGTAAGGTTTCACTTTTTTAATTCATTTTATTATTCTTTTTTTATTCTTAATCCAACTTAGTGCTTTGGTTTAGTCAGTTTGTCCATTAAAACGGTGTTACTGCCAGCAACCACTTGTGAAACTTGTGAAACCAGTGACATCGTCACTCTAAGCCATATTGGAGACATGGATACAAAGCAACATTAAGCATTTTTCATTGTTACAAAAAAAAATAAAAAAAAAACATATATTTTTTATCCCAACCAGTGTCTCGGGGGCCACGTGTGTCACCTCTGTTGTGATTCTTTGGTCTTCAGTGCTTAAGTGCTTGAACCTTTACTGCATTAAACTCAACACAGTAATATTCTTAATTGCAATATGTATCAACACCGCTTAGAGTGTGGCTCACAAACTAACAAACTTTGGGGGCTTTTAACTTACATTAGCAACAGATATGCTTATTAATACACTATACCAAACAAATAGGTGATTTATTTACTTGATGTACCCTTGCATCGTGAATATAATATCTTGTTTTAAGGATAAAGACAAAAGGCTTTAGGTTTCAATATCTCAATTTCAGTATTAATATTTTCTGTGGTTTCAGAACCTGTTATCCTGTTATAATGAATGAATTTACAACACAGTTTAAGTGCTAGAACACATGTTAAAAGTGACATAATGGAGCATATGTGGCTAAAAATCACTTTTGCAATTCCTCCCAGGAAGCAGCATTCTCTCTAGGGACGTATGGTCTGGCATCCATTTATTGGCTAGCTTTACAAGACATTAATACAAATTCCCTGAGCTTTTATGGTACATAAATCAACAAAATAAGAAGCAGTGGATGCTTCACGTCCAACACCAATAAAATGTAAGAGAGTTCTTTGGCATATTTTTTCACTTTAAAGTGTTATGCCTAGAAATCTATTTTAGGCATAACCTATAAATGACATAGTAATCACCATTGTGTTTCCACTATAATGTCCTTTAGATTCAACTCTGTGTTTAACTATTTGTAATTGCCCCTTCCTATGATAGACGTATGACCTTTTTGTGCAGATCAATATTTATTTGCTGTTTTTATCTCTTTAATTATATTGAGGGCTTTTTGGATAACAGTCCAAATCAGTTCCACAGTATAGAACAGGTTAAAAAAACAAAAAAAAAAAAAACTTTTGCATTAAACTATCCCTAACCTGAGTATAAATTAATATAAAAGGATGAAAGCAAAATTAGTGATATTTATGTGTTTATAACACACACTGTGGGGTTTATTTACTAAAACTGGAGAGTGCAACATCTGGTGCAGCTGTGCATAGAAACCAATCAGCTGCCAGTTTTTTTTTGTCAAATCTTAAATGAACAAGCTGATTGGATACTGCTCAGCTGCTGCAGATTTTGCATTCCGCAGTTTTAGTAAATCAACCCCTATATTTGTATAAGTGTGATAAAATCAAGATAAAGGTGAATAATACCATTCAAAGTCATCTATCTATCTATCTATCTATCTATCTATCTATCTATCTATCTTTCTATCTATTGTTCTCCTCTCTGTTCCAGTATATTGGATGCCAATATGGATATACTGCATACTAAAATGGAAAAAAAAACTGGCGTAGATATAGCTTAAATGTATTAGCCCCACATTCACCTCTCTCTTCACATACCACACCAGTGACAGTGATGCTTTTGAACATGTAACTGGAGGAAGTTCCTTAGCTTCCTTGCTTTACTAAATGAATTGAGTGTGTCCATTTAGTTTAGGGAACAAAATTTAAGCTGTGTACATTTCAATCATCCAATCCAATGCAAGTAGAAATCCATTTTTCTTTCATTTCCTCTGCACATTATTGGTTATAAAAAATTGAATAGAGCTTCACCTTATTTACTAAGCAAAGTGAACATTTGTTACTGCTTTAGAAAATTGTCCTCCATTGATACATAAAAACAGTAGATAATTTGAAAGTAAACCATCAAGAATTCTTGGCTGGATAGGTTAACAGATAAGTAGATCTATTCATATATTTGATTATTTAATAGTGCTGGCTTCTGTTGCGATGAATGTGACATTCACCAAACATTAACAGGTGGTGAATCAATCACTGTTATTTAAAACACATTCACCATTCACCTGCAGTGAATATTTGGTGAATGTCAAGTTAACTGAATTATAAATATGCCCTTTTTTGTTAGATATTCCCATTAGTTAAGGCTATGAAGATGTTCTATTAGAAGACCCAAGTAAAGGGTCTAAAAATTAACCATAACATGTATAGTGTAACAAAATTAATGACTCCAATGTAGAGGGATTTTTAGCCATACTGCAGGCTACCTTGCTATAAATATTTTTAAAAAGAATATGGCATTGGAAAAGTGACAGCAAATTGAATTGAAGAGTGAATTTTTTTTTTGTAATGTGCTCTAAAACCAACTGGATGAATACTATATGAAACGCAACCGTGAACTCTATGAACTCTATGAACAACCATGAAGTCAGCTGACAGAAAGAAATATCAATTAAAAACAACATCAACAACCTTATTTAAAATGATTAAATAATTCCATATGGATATCTAGATGGATATCACCTCTGTTTAGAGTACAGAAATGAGAACTATTTGAAATGGCGAAGAGTGCCTAGTATTAAATATAAAATACGTATACATTTCTGTAACCTTTTGTGAAGCCAGAAAGGACAACTGTTTGCTGGAAGATCATCATCAGTCCTCAGAGATATACTACTTACTGATTTACAAAGAACATGGTAGTCACATTTCATCCTGTATTTCCCTCCTGTATTCCATTAGGAAATTTAGGTGGTGGGTTAGACTATTGCCTTCAATTTAAAGCACAAAGTATAATCTATGAGCATGGTGAATGGGTGTTATAGGATTCTCAGGTGGATGGATGTTATGATGTTCCCAGCAGCTAGATCAGTTGCTGGAGGCTCAAAAGACTGGAGGAAAAGAGATTTAATCTCCAAATACGGAAATGTTTCTTCACAGTAAGAGCTGAGACAATGTGGAATTGACAACCTCAAGAGTTGATTTTGGCCAGCTCAGTGGATTTCTTTAAAAAAGGCCTGGATTATTTCCTAGATACACAGAATATAACTGGATACTAACATTAAAAGGTAGAGTTGATCCAAGGAATATCCAATTGCCTCTTGGGGGATCAGGATGGAATTTTTGTCCCCTGCAGGAGCAAATTGGATCATGCTTTGCTGGGTTTTTTGCCTTCCTCTGGATCAACTGTGGGTATAGGATTATAACTTTTTTATGGTTAAACTAGATGGACGTTTGTCTTTTTTCAGCCAGACTATCTATGTAACTAAGGGTACATTTCCAGAATGTGCTCATTATGAAAATGATTCAACCCTGCACTGGATTATCAGTAATATGGGAAAATGTATCCTTTATTAGACTTCATAAAATGCAGAATCAAACACTAAACCACTGCAGTGCAATAGGTTACAGTCTGTATGTACCAAATGGCTTTACTGAGAGCTATCACAACAATATCTATGTTTTTTTATATATGTATATATTTAGGATATTGCTGTCAGAGTACGTTTTTAAATAAAAAATATGTAGCTCACACAATTGTGTGTAGAGCAACTAGTGATGAGCAAAGAATGATTGATTCAGAACAGTGTACTAAAAAGCCTTAGAAGCCCTGGTGTGTTAAGTGTGCTGTAGAAGAATCACTTTGCAAATGATCTAGTTCTAGCAATTTCCATATATTTTAGTTGAAATACAACAAGAAAAGTATAAAGAAAATACAATTACACACAAATGTATTTCACACAGAACAAACACAAAAAAGCTAAATGATGATTTCCCCTTTTTCTTGGTCTTACACATACGGATTGTACTATCTATATATATTTGAAGCTCCACATCCCAAAATTCCCAGTTGTGCCCAACTGCAGTAACTTCAAAGAGCCAGACGATGGTGTCATACATCCTCCAGAATAAAATACTGCATCACTGTTTTTAGTGTTTTTTTTTTAATTTTGGAAAAATCTTGCCAATATTATATAGTTATTTAAATACATTTTAAATGCCACATGCTTAATCCGTCCTATACTCCAAACCCTTCGCAATCCTTTTCCCAGTTCTTAAAGGTGGTCTATACTAATCTATCCTTGTTTGGTACAGTCATTCAGAATTTTTTTAGCATGGCTAAGCCAAACATATTCGTATTCAGGATAACTATATGGTTTTATCATATTAAAGACTGCAGGGATTGGCAACAATTGTGCTTAGTGCAATGCCTTCACTTTCTAAAATATTTAATGTATACCCTTGACAAAACATATATGCTATGTGCTACAACACACATTATTAATTAAGTAATTAATAGTTAGTGAGTAAAAAAAAAAGTTTTTGTGATCTAGATTTAGATCCATTTATTTGGGCTTTATTCATTTTTGTTATTTTTACAGTTTGGTACCGTAGACATGGTTTCATGTATCCCTACAGATTGTGATGTGGGGGTGGTAGGCCCCCTGTTACTGTATGTTAATGCTAACCATATGCCATCAAAAAACGAGAACAATGATTTATCTAAAGATCATCCCCAAGATGATAACTGAGTAATTAAAAAGCCACAATCATGCAGGTCCCTTGCTATGTGTATACCATTTCCTATTCTTTTCAGCATCAGACAGGTGCTTGGTACCTGGTACCAGGTGCTCTGATAAACAATACATGCAGAATTTTGATTCCTTACTCAACTCCACTACCCATTGTTAGTGAAAGTAATAAAAAGCATCACCATAAATCCAATGACCCTATTAGAAATAAAAACTCTGCCTCCAAACCTTCTACTTAAAAAAAAAGGGTGTCTTCTGTTTTACAGTCTTCTGCTCCCACATCTCCCCTTTAGTGATTACAGTGATACAGTATATTATTGTAGCTAAGGCATTTATTTCTAGGAAATTCCTGTTGTTCTCATCAGTAGCATTGGAACAGTCCTTGTTATAGTCTTTTTCTTAAAATTCAAATAAATTGTTA